CTCTAAACACCACTTTTTCCAAACGGACAACCAAAAAGCAGTGCTTTTTACAATTTTTTCGATGTTTAAGCTGTTTTTCAGCTGCGGTGGCGAAAGAAAACCTACTTAAAACGCCGGCCATTGTTTCGCTCGCAAATTTTCAAATTTTCAAATTTTGTTGCGACATCCAAGGCTCGCATTTGATTTGCTATCTGCGAGTTTCTTTTATTATTGACTAATCAGAATGTCTGATTTGTTTCTTTCTTTGCACTGAATGAACCCTCTTCTGCACCGAATTAACTCTCTTCTGCACTGAATTACCTGAAAACTGCATTTATCTTAACCAATCAGAACTGAGTAATTTTTCCATGTATATTATTAGTTAAGGAACAGACAAGGAAAATAAAGACAGCAGCTGATCTAAAGTCAGAAAATCTATATGAATTAAACTACAAATCTGTCCATAAAAGTAAGATAGATCAAATGTACTGACACCTCCCACTAACATATCAGCAACAGCCAGATTTATGACCAGGTAGGCACTACGGTTACGAAGATTGCGATGTTTTATGAAGATAACAATTGTGATGGCATTGAGAGTTACAGTGACAAACGAAGCTGCAAAAAAGACAGTGATCCAGGTTATGCGTTCGGCTTTGGGAAACATCTTGAACTAACGCCTCTCTTCTCCAGTTCTGCCAATTCAATTACGATTTGAACTGTCAAGGAAAATCGAATAAGAAAATCACGTCAGTAAATGTTTTGAACCTGGGGGTAACATGTGAATAGTAGTTGTCAGTCGAATGTTCTAAATCCGGTTAGTATAAACTGATGAGTCAGTTTTGTCGTGATGTTATTGCCTTTAAGACTTAAGTGGCGTAGGTCGGTCGTGATCGGTCGGTCGTGATTGGTCAGTCGTGATTGGTCGGTCTTGATGCGTCGGTAGAGTAAGGTCGTTCTGTTAGTTTGATTTTTAATATTAAAGTGAATGAGTTGTCTGTATGGTGCCGGTAGTGGTTGACACCTGTTGAGGGAAGTCTGCTCTAAGTTACTAAACCAGCTTTCCAGAGTCAGTCCTTGAAAGCAGTTGGTGCTGTAGGTTAGGAATTGCGCAGATTCCCAGTCAACAGTTTGGTTCGTAAGTCGATGATGCTCACCTTTCTACGTCTCTCACTTGTGTTCAGTCAGCCTTGTTGTGAGGTTTCTGCCAATATCTCCAATGAAGGAGGCATGGTTTTAGTGTCAATTTGACTTGAAACATCAAATATTCAGGACCGCCATAATGAGAATTATAATTATAATGATAGTGCTAGTAATGATAATAATAGAAATAATAATAATGATGATAAAGAAAATGATAATTATAATGATAAGATGCGAAAATGAAAACCCGTTGCTTTCAATTCAGATATTTCGGAAAACATGGAACAAAATTTGCTATTCCTGGCCAACGCAAGTGTCGGCTAATTTGTAATGCATTTCCTATTGACCGTTCCGATTACAATTAAACTATCTTTAGTGCGTCAATTAAAGATGTCAAAACAGCGAGACTCGTTTAATTCTCACCTCAAAGATAAATTAAATGTATATTAATTAATAACCCTCTTTTGCGCCAAAAAGAGACCACTTAAAGGATGCTAAAATATTTATGTTATTAGATTTCACCTTATGTTCACTTAAAGATCAATGAAAAGTAGATGTTAGCTTTTGGATATTTCGGTTTAATAGTCGGAGATTGTGTCAACATGAAGCAATTTGCTGAGCGACGCACATCCATTTCCATGCACCGTCAAACTAATTAGGCAATTTATAGTGATAGAAGCGTTATTACGATTTTAGCCGAAAAGCTCTGTATTGATGCAGCTGTTTTATTTTTGGTTAAAGCATGAACAACCCCTTTTATTCAGTTTGAATTAGTATTTAGCACTTTTATGGTAAATCAACGGGGTTGCCCGTACTTGAATAAGCTACATGTTCGAGAAGTCTTGAGATTTCCTTTTCCCTAGTTTTGTTTCCTTTCACAAATTCTGTGAACATTTCTTTTTTTTCGCTTATTCAGGCGAGACAGCGGTTGTTTCTTGTGTTTTCCTTTGATATTTGCGCGGGGAAATTAGGGTGCCGCCTGCCAGAATTGATCCTGTCACGCACGACTGACGTTTCACCGCTGTGTTATTTTAAGGCCCAGCCTCGTTACCATGCTGGTTTATACCGTAGCGGCTATAGATTCAAGTTACAGAGTCTTGTCAACATAACTAGATACGTGGTTTCTGTTTTTGGCAAAATTTTTCTCTGATTCTGGACATATGCTCCCAGACTACATCGAGAGGGTAGAACTATTTTTGTACCTGACCAGCTTCTAATGGAAGTAAATAGAGCTGTCAACCTTTGAGCATACTGCCAAAATATAAATGAGCTCGCAAAAATTATGGATTATTTCTTTCTACTTCCGCTATCCACAGAAGAAAGCTATTCGCCCTTTTAGAGAAGTGCCACTGCTGTTCCTCAACTACTTACAGTGGCTGTTATTGAAAAAGAGCTTGTTTACAGGTGAGATACCATATATTTTTCCGATTTTTAATTGTCTAGACTAGCTGTTTTTCCCGTGTTCTAGAAGATATGAAATCCGTACGAAGAATTTAAGGATCCTTTCGTTTATCTGAATCTATTCGAACGACTTTTTCAGCCCGTTTTAATTTGCTTCTCTCAGTTTCGTTTTACAACCAGCTCAGTTCAACAATTCCCTGCTTCACCAGAGTCAAGAATACATCCAGAACATTACACATTTTAACCTTTAAGTAGATATAAAAGGGGGACGCCGACACACTTTGAAAACAAAGTTGATTTCAAGGCAACTCGTAAATTTATACAAGTGAATAATATTCACAGTGTCTCGCTCGTGAGTTCTGAAGAGGGGTGAGAATATTATCAACGGTTTCTGATACGTCAGAATTTTTTTCAAATTTATTTTCTTTAAGAGAGGATGTCAGCATCCATCGAACAAATTTGAAATATTGTGGCAAGT